CGTAGACAACGGGGAAGAGCTAAACCTCCCTCACTGGGAAATATGATTAATGACAACTTTCTTGTAAATTGATAAAACTCCTTAAAACAACATAAAAAAATCTTACTAATCTAGGAATAAACAATACCATCATTTTATTTTATAATCCATTTTCACAATTTTTTTTACAAATTATAATTATAAAACGGAACGCTTCTCAGAGAGGTTAAGCGCACTTAATATCAGGGATGTGAACCCTTCAACAAAAAAAAAGGGTCCGGGTCTGGGTTCGGGTCCTGTAATAAATTTTTAAAGGACCCGGGTCCAGGGTTCGTGTCCAGGGAACATAAAAATAATGACTCAAAATAAGACTTTTTTTTCATTCATTTTTATTATACTTCAATATATATACACATTCATAATTCAAAATGAAATAATTTAAATTTTAAATATTTTATTCAATCGAACGATCATAATATCTTCTAAAATATCATCCTTGAGATTTCCACGTAAATTAGACAATATGTATTTCAAAGAAGAAAATCCACGTTCTACGCTGACCTAAAATAGATAGTTATCTTTATAATATATAAATTATTGTACCTGTGTCGCCGGCACAGCCATGACGAATCTAGACAAGGTATACAATTCAGGATATATTAAAGAATTTTCCTCCCAGAATGTTAAAATATTTTTATCCCTATTAATTCTCTTAACTTCTGAGAATTTTTCAATTAAAGATACAATCGATATTTTTTTCACCTTTCTATCTGATCTTGATGATAATTTTATTTTTTTTTCTCTATCTAATAATAAAATTTCGAGATCGTCAATATTACTATCATCATTACTATCGCTACAACCATTAGATGTTGAAGCCTCCAATATATTGTTAATAATAGAGTTATGGTTATGCCATAAATCGTCGAGATGGTCTATTGCCATTTGCTTTTGCTCAATACTTAAATCAAGGATCTAAATATATTGAGGCATACACAACACTATTTTTCAAATATTGTTGCTCTCGTATTTTCATGTTTTCTAATATTTCGTATGAAAAGGAACATGTAAATTTTTCTAATTCTAATCGACATCTCACCCATATGCCATAAAAATCGGATAAACACAACTGTTCTGACTGCAATCGTAATGTAGTAATTTTCAAAGAAACCAACACCCTAGTAAGGTCTTTGATTTGATTCCAATCATCCTCTGACAAAATGATTTCACATGATCCTATAATAAAATCATCACAGAAATCTTTTAAACTTATTAATCGCTCTAGCATCATACAGATAGAAGACCAACGGGTTGTGCAATCTAATATTGCCATTTGCCTTTTCATGGATTTTAATATTCGTACAATTGTAGGAGTTCTTAAATATTTAGCAACATCCCTTGCTTTGTCAATTATAGTTTTAAAGATATTATTTTTGAGGGAATCATTAATAGCTAATTGTAGTGTGTGGGCTGCACATCTGATACAGTATATCTTCGTGGAAAAATCTTTTATTATCTCCGGTATGTCAAATTCACTAAAATTATTATCATCATTATTTATATCTATATCATCCATTTCGTCCAATGAACATTCATTTAATAATTTAATAGATTTGACTAGATTAGCACCATTATCCGTAGTAATGGTATAAACGTTTCTTATGAAATTTATTTAAAGTTTCTATTATCATTCTTTTTATATTTTCAGAAGTTGAACTTTCTTTAATCTCCTTCATTGCTAAATTTCTTAAGATTATATTATTTCCTTTAATATATTGTATATTTATTCCTAAAATATTTCTCCCTAATCTTTGGGTGGAATCTATTTTTAATGAAATTAATTTGTTTTTTGTTTCTTTTATAATTTTTGCTTGTATTTTTTTCGATTCATCAACCACTAAGTCCTTAATTTTAAAACGTTTAATTGATGTTCCAATTGCCTTACTAATAGGATCAATAATTTTTTTTAAACCAGAATCCTCAATAATATTGAAAGGTCTTCCATTTATTGTAACAAGCTCAACTAAAGCATTCATCAAATTCTCCTCAGACATTTGAATATGAATGCTTTTTTTTAGGCAAAAAGCATATTATTAAATTTACATAATAAAATATTATTACTTACACTAGAAAATAATTTATGGTATCAATCTCTAAATAAAATGAAATGAAGTCCAGGAAGAAAATCAAAAGAAAAGCGCGAATATAAAATAAATGATTCCACGAAAAAAATTAATAAAATTATAAAAATTTTATATTATTTTTTAAAAATAATATTTTTAAATTATTTTAAAAAAAAATTTATTTGTTAAAATTTTTACCCTGAAGCCTTGAACCCTCCACTTTTTAAAAGGGTTCGGGTCCGGGTCCGGGTTCACATCCCTACTTAATATTACGTTATTAAACAATAGCTCAACCTATTCACTTGATGAAAATAATTAGCTATCCTAATTGTTTTAAATTTTACCATAACCAATCCTTCTCATTTTGATATAACATTTTCCAAAGTTGCCGCAAGTTATGTCATCTGTTTCCAAGCTTAATTTTCTTTTGGCTAAAATATCGAGTATCTTTAAATCCTCATATTTTGAAATAGGAAAAAAGTTGATTTTATAAATAAATATAGTAATATTTTTTTAAGATATTTCATTTAATTTTATTTATTATAATTTCTTTCTTTAGATTCTTTGTTTAATCTTATAATGTTTCAAATTTTTGAAATTCTAATACTTTTTGGTTCATACTTAAAGGTTTGCTATTGTCTATTTCGCTTATTAAAACTAGTTTTTGTTTATTGACTGGAAAAACTGATTGATGTAATACTAAGTAATAATCTGGCATTTCATATAGTAGAGCTTACCCAAAAATATTTGTTTGTTTTCGCATGTTGTTAATCTTGGCAATTTTATCTTATTTTGTTAGTAAAAACTATCTACCAAATGAATTGAAGAATCAATGTAATAATTATTGATTTAAGTTCCAGATTTATTGCTTCCAGAAATTTGGTTGATTTTACGCTTTAATGGGTGATATAGATTTTATTTTTCTTATAGCACGGTTGCCTTTTTGTGTGTGAAAAAAATGACTGAAGAATTAATAAATATTAGCGCAAACCAGCTATTTTCCATTCTATCAATAATGCCTGAATTAGGCAATTTTTCTTATTTTGCTAATAAACTTTTTCTTTATACTGTCTAAACGAATTAAATTATAATTAATAAGGAACATCGATAAAATTTTCGGAATAAATATAAAATATGACGTAAAGGGATCTATTAAAATAAGATAATACTTGCTAAACCATTTCCTATTTTAACTTAAGAAAAGGACTGCGAAGAATATAATCAGGGGCTTGTATACATATCTATAAATGATATCAACCCTCTCAAAACTTTTAACCTCCTGCCAAATATAAATAATTTTAAAAAAAAATACCTTTCATCACTTTCCAATTTTTCAAATAATGATAATTATTTCATAACTAACTACCCCCCTCTATTCAATGATGCTCCTATAACGAGTTCGCAGTTCAAGTTACGATATTGACCTTGCTATAAAAATTTGGAAAAAAATTGGTTGTATTAATTTTGTTATATAGCTTTAAAATTCCTTAAGGTTATTAATTATTTAAATATTGGAATTTGGTTAACTTTTTTTAACATACTATATTCTCATTTGATTTAGTAACAATATAAATGAGCTTGGGTGGCTTCATGTCATGTCATGAATAATAAAATTAAAATACATCATTTTTTTGGTTATATTTTTTTAAAAATTGTTTTCTAAATTTTTTTTATTAATAGCTCAACCTATTCGCGTCTTGATGAAAATAATTAGCTATCCTAATTGTTTTAAATTTTAGGTTATTGCTTAAGTCGGAGGGGTATATTATTTTTTTTTTATTTTTTTTATGTTTTTTTAAATGTTATTTTAAATTAATATAGTATTATTATGTAAATATATTTTTCTGTAAATCAAAAGTTGTAATATATTTTCGGTTAGGGTACCTTTTCAGGGGCAATTTTTGTTATTTTTTTATGTTATATTTTGTTATTTTTTTATGCGATTTTTTTTTATGTAATTGTTTTATGAAAGCCATTGTTTTTATGTTATTTTTTTATGATTGGTTCATTTTCTTATTGGTTAATTTTTTATTTAAGATATTTTTAAATTAATATATCTTTTTTTATTTAAGATATTTTAAAATAATTTTTTCTAAAATTTAAAATTCGTACAATTATTTAAAGGAAGTGATGGGGGCAAATAAGGGGGAAGGCTAGGGGTAAGGGGTAAAATTATTAGATTATGTACAATGCGAGTAAGTTTGGGGTTAAATTTTTGATAGATGAAACTTCGCTATTTAAAATTTATTTGGTTGATTCTTTCTATACAAATTTATTATGATTTCTTCTAAACAAACTTAATACGATTCCTTCTATACAAACTTAATATGATTCCCTCTATACAAACTTAATATGATTCCTTCTATACAAACTTAATATGATTCCTTCTATATAAACTTAATATGATTTAAAGGAAGTGATGGGGGCAAATAAGGGGGAAGGCTAGGGGTAAGATTTTTGGTAGACGAAACTTTCCATTTTTAATTTTTTTTTGGTATAAATCTTTTTTTGGTTCCCTTTTTTTTAGTTCCAATATATATTATATAATTCCTTCCATTTTTTTTAAAATGAATATTTTTGAAGTTGGTGTTTATACACAAAATGTTGAGAAAGCTTATGATTTTTGTCTAAATAATCAATTTATACCGCCTGGAATACAACATACCTGTTGCAATTCCGTAATGCGGGTTGAAAAAAACAATAAGAGTTTACGATATCGATGCAGTAGGTGTCGTAGATCGTATTCAATATGGAAAGGTAATATTAATATATATATATATCATAAATGACGAATTTTTAGATTCCATTTTTGAAGGAATTCATGATGTTGGGAGATTTTTAAGACTAGTGTACTTGTACATAAGTACCAATTCTTTAAAAAATATTAAACAAATTTTAGGCCGTTATAAAATTTTAACTGCTTCGAAAGAGTTAGATTATGATAAGAAGGCAATTTCAAGATGGTAATCTAAAGTATAATATGGTTTTTTACTTCACTTATATAGGTTTAAAAAATTTCGAAAGGTATGTGGATTCCATATAGCCTCGAATCATTCAAAGATCGGGGGGCCTGGCCACGTTATTGAAATTGATGAAACTCATGTATGGAAGCGTAAATATAACCGTGGTCGGCATTTGACTTCCGAGGCTATATGGATTATTGGTGGTATATGTCGGGAAACAAATGAGATATTTTTAAGTGCCACCACAACAAGAGATCAAGATACCACCTATCGTGTGGTTAAAGATAATGTTATGCAAGATTCCACGATAATGACTGACTCGTGGTTAGGGTATGTGAATTTATTTTTTCAATAAAGCAAAAGTGGTGATAAATGTAAATATATTTATCTTAGATATAATCGGCTAGAAACTTCAAACTATTTCCACTATCGGATCAACCATTCGCAAAATTTTGTTGATCCAAATGACAGATCGATCCACACTCAAAAAGTCGAGAGGCTGTGGCGGGATCTAAAGGCAAATTATAAAAGACATGGGGATCGGGATAATATTCATGAATATCTTCTTGAATATAGATATTTTCGAAAATATAGATTTTTAAATCGTTTTGATGTTTTTATACATTTTATTAATGATTGTATAAATTTTAATAGTATATTTCAATTTAATGAATAAATTATTTCGATTTTTATGCTTAAATTTTATTTATTTTTGGAATCTTCCTTTAATTATAATGTTATCACTAAAAAAAATTAAATTCTTTATACAAATTTTAGAAAAAATTATTCATATTAAGTTTGTATAGAAGGAATCATATTAAGTTTGTATAGAAGGAATCATATTAAGTTTGTATAGAAGGAATCATATTAAGGTGTATAGAGGGAATCATATTAAGTTTGTATAGAAGGAATCGTATTAAGTTTGTTTAGAAGAAATCATATTAAGTTTGTATAGAAAGAATCAACCAAATAAATTTTAAATAGCGAAGTTTCATCTATCAAAAATTTAACCACAAACCTACCCGCATTGTACATAATCTAATAATTTTACCCCTTACCCCTAGCCTTCCCCCTTATTTGCCCCCATCACTTCCTTTAAATAATTGTACGAATTTTAAATTTTAGAAAAAATTATTTAAAAATATCTTAAATAAAAAAAGATATATTAATTTAAAAATATCTTAAATAAAAAATTAACCAATAAGAAAATGAACCAATCATAAAAAAATAACATAAAAACAATAGTTTTCATAAAAAAATTACATAAAAAAAATCGCATAAAAAAATAACAAAAAATCGCATAAAAAAATAACATTAAAAAATAACAAAAATAATTGCCCCTGAAAAGGTACCCTAACCTTTAAATCTATTTATCTTAGATATAATCGGTTGGATCAAACAATTATTTCCATTATAGGGTCAATCATTCCCGAAACTTCGTTGACCCAAATGATAGATCCATTCCCACGAAAAAGTCGAAAGACGATCTTAAGGAAAACTATAAAAGACATGGGGATCGAGACAATATTCATGAATATTTACTTGAATATAGATATTTTAGAAAACATAAATTATTAAATCGCTTTGATCTTTTTATTCTATTTATAAATGACTGTATACATTTTAATACAATTTTTCAATTTAATGAATAAAATTGACTCGTTTATTACTATATTTCGATATTTTTATTTTGTATAAATTTCAATAATATATTTCAATTTATTTCGAATTAACCCTTCCCAACAAAGGTTAAAAAAATCACTTAGAATTTAAAGATGGGGTCTATTTTACCCCTAATAAATACAAAATTTAAGATTTTATGCTAATTTTCCTAAAATTGCTTAGATTATCAGACTATATTTCAATTTAATGAATAAAATTGACTCATCACAATTCTTTTACCCTCCTCCCCTCCCTAGGAATTAAGAAATATTTTTTAAAAAGAAAAAAATATTTTAAAATATCTTAAAAGAAAAAATACATATTAATTTAAAAATTTATCACCAAATAATAAATATATGCTACATTATTTTAAAAATTTATCACAAAACCAAATAATACTATATTAATTTAAAATAACATTTAAAAAAAACATAAAAAAAATAACAAAAAAAATAACATAAAAAAAATAACAAAAAAAATAAAATAAAAATACCCCTCGACTTAAGCAATAACCAAATTTTACCATAACCAATCCATCTCATTTTGATATAACATTTTCCAAAGTTGCCGCAAGTTATGTCATCTGTCGGAAAAGTTTCCAAGCTTAATTTTCTTTTGTATAAAATATCGAGTTAGCCTTTTATCTTTATCCTCATATTTTGAAATAAGGAAAAAAGTTGATTTTATAAATAATGATAATTTCATTTAATTTTTTTATTATAATTGCTTTCTTTAGATTCTTTGTTCAATCTAAATTTGATAATTTTTGAAATTCTAAAAACTTTTGGTTCATACTCAAAATAACATGAAAATTGCGGTAGAAATATAAAAATTGCTAAAAAAAATTTTTTGCGGGCGGCCTTCGGCCGGGATTTTGAATTGATTTAATTATCCGCCTATTATTTTTTATAATTAGTTATATAAATACAAAGTCGGTAACTATTTTTCAAAATACAATAAAATCTTGATTTATTAAATTATATTAATTTATAAAAAAAACCAACGATCTTTTTTAAATATAAAAAACGATTTTAATTTTACAATTAAAAATATATTTTAAGCGAATGTCCCTCAAAACGACCTCAATTGGAAATCTACCGTGTGTGTGTATAACATTATAGGGATAGGCGCTTAATTATCAAGTATCACGATTAAATACATAATAAGGTACTCCAAAATAAGATATAATACAGATGCAACTACAGTTGCGGCAATTGTACTTATCTTGTAGAACAACATTCACAGAGATACTTATCATCACAATATTGGTAGAATCTTTTTTCCATAATATTTAACGACTCTAATATAAATGAAAATTATACTTGTAGAACAAATGAGCAAGGCTATCATTAATGTTTTAAGACCTAAATCCAGGAGGTCAATTTTTGACGATTTGAAAGATGGGCATATATATGCAATTCTAACAGATGCATCTAAAGGGATTTCCCTTGATCTTCCGCTATTTCAACAAAATTAAGGTCATTTCAATAAAACTATTAAATTTTTTCCCCTCAAATAGTGAAAAATCCAAAGACATAGCTAACCATATAATATCAGATTCGAGATGATCAATAAATTGCATGTCAGCTTTCTGATCTGTTAATGCCTCAGTGAATTTGGAAAAAACAGAGTGTATTTACAGAAGCGAGTCTACACAATGTTGGTTGAGATATGTTCCTAATATCGGCCATCGATAGAATTTTAAAATTTTATAAACCTTTAAAAAATATTTCTTATAATGAATGGCAGAGGTATATTTAGGAATGATTTCACAAGTAGAATGTGCAGTTGCAATCAGAAGAATCTTAACAAAGATTCACAAAATTATGCTGCAGATGTGTCCATCTTTACAGTTAAAAATTGACAATAAATTTTATGTCGCCCTTGCTAAAACATAATTATATTTTATTTGAGATTTAAATAATAGAACTAAATGTTTACCGTCGTTATTGAGATTATAAAATTCCTGGCATGACATATTATACATTATTTAACCATTAGCTCGTTCTCTAATGTTGTTAAATCCGATTTCTCTCCTTTTTTCCAGGCAGTCCTCTTCAGGCTAAAAATGCGCTCGGATGAGGCATTAGAATGAGGTAAGGAGAAGTTTTGGCGAATCATAAAAAATAGAGAGAATTAAAATCTTTTCAAACAAGACATCAATGTCTTTCGGTATTTTTAATATATTTATTAAATTACAAAAACCTTAATTGATGGTTTCTGTTCCAAGGTCATAATATTTATACAATTGTAAATAGAGTTATTAAAATAAAATTTTGATTGTAAATATTCTGAAATTGACTTAATAAAAATATCTGCTTTATTTAAATATGTATTAATTAGAGTATTATTTGAACATTTTAATATAATATTTTTAGCAATAGCGCCATAAAATTATTTTCAATTTTTAAATATAGAGATGAACAGAGCTGTAGCATAATTTTGTGAAACATTTTTAATAAAGAATATTCTGATTGCAAATATTAACTGCATGCAGTAGATTTCCTACATGTGAAAAGAATCCCAAATATACTTCTGCCGTTTCATATTAGAAAGTTTTTTTCAAATTTTAGGACAGCCTTTAAAATCTTTATTTAAGAAGTATTTTTTTAAGGGTTTGTAAAATTTTAAAATTCTATCGATGGCAGGTATTAATGACAACCACCTGATAGGTATATATCGCAACAACTCACACCATTCCAAGTCAGACCACTTCACCAACTCTTTTAATTCATTAAATCTTTTAGTTGAACTAAATTCGTTAAGATATTTCATCACAATTATTTCGACATCCACAGACAGTACATTCATTGCCTTCTTGCAAGAACTATGTAGTATATATGGCATATACAGCCAATTGGTAATAATTCATTTGTGCTGCCTCAATTCGGTAACTTTAGATTTTGCCAAAATTTACAGAGGCATTATCAGCGCAGAAAGCTGGCATGCAAATCATTGATAACCTTGAATTTATGTGGCTAGCTACATCGTTGGATTTTTCACTATTTGAGGAAATTTTTTTAACAGTTTTATTGAAATGTTCTTATTCTTGTTGAAATTGCAAAGGATCGAGGGAAATGTTTTAATATTTCCCTTATTAGATACATTTGTTGAACTACACAATAGATGTATACGATTTCCGCAAATATAGTTTCATTTTGAGAATATTTTTGCATTGCAATCGATGTTGATATACTCCCCTGTACTGACTAATATTAATAAAATAATGTTGATTTATTATTGGATAAAAATAAAACAGGATAGAAAGAAATTTACAAACTAGACATGTTTTTCGAATAAATATTTAAAATTTAATTAAAAATATAAAAATAATCAATTAATGTCTCAAAATTATTATTTACATATTAAAAACGTTTAAAATACTTTTTAAAAAAACGGGAGAAATTAAATCGCGGTAGATTTTTGCGGGAGATTTCCAATTGTGGTAGTTTTGCGGGAGAGAGATATTTGTGTGTAAACTAAAAAACTGCGGGAGTCCCGCTGCAACCCTGTTCATACTTAAAGGTTGCTACTGTCTATTTCTCTTATTAAAACTAGTTTTTGTTTATTGAAGAAAAACTGATTGATGGAATAGTAAGTACTAATCTGGCATTTCATATGGTATGAGCTCACCCAAAAATATTTATTTGTTTTCGCATGTAGCTAATCGTGGCAATTTTATCTTATTTTGTCGAAAAACTATCTACCAAATGAATTGAAGAATCAATGTAATAAATTTCAA